GGGTTCCATCAGATCAAAGTACTTAACATTCTAATGTGTGTGCGTGTGTGTGTGCGCGTGTGTGTGTGTGTGTGTGTGTGCGTGTGTTGTATGTGTGTGCACTTTGTGTTACATTTTGCTTGTATGAAAAGTGCCGTACAAATAAAGATACAGACAACATTCTTTCTCTAACCATAACCATATTTCAACCTGAACCATGGTGGGGTAAGATCAGAAAATGCTTTTATTTTTGTAAAAGTTGTCTGTAACTGTTTCAGACAGTACTGACCATTAAAACTATCCTGGCGATAGAGGTATATGATTCCAACAACGTGTTTTCTTTGTGCAGTGCCTAAAATGGATGCAGCATCATATGTTCTCTGGACACTATTCATCTGTTGCATAACACTGAAATATTTACTGGAAAACTGGGTTTTTTGTAGCTCACAATTAAGCTGGAACACTCAAATGTAACCTGTCAGTGACATCCAGCATCCTCCAAAGATAATATCTGCTCTCCACATCTCTTTCAGCCCCCAATAATATCAGGGGTGTGCTGTCAAACGCTCAGTTTAATGTTTTTGTCTGGTGAGTCACTGAGCTGGCGGTGGAGTGACACTGACATTTATGGTGTGATTCAGAGAGCCAGATAAGAATCTAAACTTGGACCACACAAAAGAGTTAAGTCTCATCCCACATTGTGCGTGACTAAGGCGTACGTAGACAGACATATTTTGGTTTGTTTGTAGATTTATGTGTTTTGTTGCCTTTTTCTTTTTTTCAGTAGTTAGATTTTTGTCTGTATATATTTTTTAGATTTCCTGTATGTGTATGCTTGTTTTTAAAATATATTTATGCAGGCTTTTTGCGTTTATTGGATAATACAGCTGTAGCTAGACAGCAGAGGGGGAGAGAGAGGGGATGACACGCAGCAAAGAGCCACAGGTCAGATTTAAACCCATGGTAGCTGCAGCAAGGACACAGCTGTAGTACATGGGGCGACAGCTCTACCAGGTAAGCTATCAGGGAGCCCCATGTATGCTTGTTTTAATGTGGATGTGGACTGCATGCATCTGTGTACAAACTTTATGTGATTTTTTTGCATATTAATTGTGGATATCTGCCTGTCTCTCTGCTGGTGGTAATACTTTGTTTGTGTATGTGTTTCTATTAATGGCCCTGCTGTGTGTGTGTGTGTGTGTGTGTGTGTGTGTGTATTTCACTATGGGCACAACTGTCAGTTTGCTGGCACTGCAAAAACATGTCATGCGTGTCCACTAAATCAGAGTAATTCTACTGTCTGACTCACTTAACACACATCAGTTAGGTTGTGTTGTCGTCCGGGGAGAGAGGAGGAGGCCAGCAGTGTGACAGCTACACAACCGTCTGACTTGTCGGGTTCTCCAACAGACTGGTTTGAAAATGAGATCCCGGGAACGATCTCAACGGGGTTAGAACTGAACTTGATTCTTATTAATTGTTATTTTATTCTTATAGCTCATGTGGTAATGATCGTAATTGTCCATCTTTGTCTTTATTCTACACACAAAGCTTTACAACTAGGATTAACTGTAGACTGCTCACTGTTACAGCCCCAGGTTATGAACACGTCCATATTAAATGATTCCACACCTCTCATTTTACAATCAGTGACACACAATGTCACAATCAGAGACACAATCAGAGACACAATCAGAGACACAATCAGAGACACACTCCCTCCAGGAGGAGGGAGTGTGTCCTAAGGTGAGGTCAGGATGGTGGGTGAGAGTGTAGCGACCTAGCCCATCTCTGTCCAAAGATTAAAAACAAATCCGACTCCAGTACTTCTAAAGCTCATTATTAACATGTTATATCTTATTTGTTTAAGGGTCCAGTGTGTTACATTTAGGAGGATAATACCCTGAAAAAGTGTTCTCTTACCTTATGCTTACTAGCTGTACCTGCAGTGCACATTCAGCAACCAGGTGCAGCCCCAACTGTGACTGACTTCCAGCTTCCTGTGTGTAAGTGGCAAAACAAGACCGTGAGCTTTCGTTATAGGATTGTGTGGGATTGTTTCTTCAGTTTTTGGAAGCGACAACAAAAAATCTAAACAAACCGCATCTTGGTTATAGTTTTATATTTAGTGGACACACATGAAAGTGGTATTGGTATGTTTTCAGAATCATTCAGTTTTAATGTTCTTGTCTGGTGATGGAGTTGCAGAGAGTGTTCTTTCAAATACACCCAGACCCTCTATATCTGGAGCCAATGGCCTAACTTTCAACAAAATTTCATTGAAATACGTGAATACCTTTTTGAAATAATAAAATATCCTCTTCACTAACAAACAAACAGGAACTGAACAGCCCACGGAGGTGAAAACTATAAAAAGCTGTTGACCTCTCTTTTAGCACAACTGAACCTCTCATCAGGTAAAAAAAACAACAACAAAAAAAACAACAACTTTTAACTCCTCTAAAGAACACAGCTCATCAGAGTCATTAAGTAGAGTCATTAAGTCAAATGCTCATTAGTAGAATCTCAGCAATAAAAGACGCCTGGGAATCAGTTTTTTCTGAGTTTTCAAAGCAACATGAATAGGACCTGTGGCAGGAATGCAATATACATCACCTAGGACTGCACTGTGTGCTACATTATAGCGATTTTACCCCGAGACTTGGTTGCAGTAAGTGTATAATAATCACAATGTCAGATTTGGATCAAGTTGTGGATATTGTCTGGTGAAGCAAACATGTGTAGATGAGAAATGGATTCTGACCAGCAGAGAAAACATAGGTCCAGCAGCCAGATAATAATCCGCCTTCTATAGCTGCAGAAAAACAGCAGGACACATCTGGAACCTGCTGGTCTTGTTGTCAATGCTCAGTGTTTTCCTGCAGACAACAAATGTTTTTGTTGCCAATAATGGCGAGAAGAGGACTTGGTTACTAACTAGCTCTGAGATCTTGAGATGTTTGGATGTATCTGGGGATGAGAGAACTGCACACGACACTGCACCTGCATTAATGATCAACACAAACTCTCAGCTCTTCAGATGACTGGCTCATGGTGTAGATGTTGAAACTGCCCTGCAAAAAAGGTCTGTGTAATGCATAACAACAACCAGAGGTAGCAAATGTGCTGCATCATGAGGCACAGTGGTGGTCTCCAGTCTGAGAGAATTTTGTCTTAAGGAATCCCCTCAGGTTTTTTATTTTATTTTTTATGTTTGAACAGGGTAAATTCAAATAGTCAATCACTGATCAAACTAGGATCACTATAAATTACAATCAATACAAACTGCCATCCCCTTTCCCTTCCCTGTTGTTCCATCTTACAAAAAATTTGATAAAAGCTCAAATATTGTATTCTTCTTTTTTCTGGGGACCTCCTACAACCCACTCAAGGACCCCTGCTGGTCCCCGGACCCCCGTTTGAAAGTCACTGGTTTAGAGCACACGGTGACCTGCTGAATCAGAGAAAGGTTCACAGCACACCGACACTGTATCTGGTATTATTTGTTGCCTTCTGCCGCCACCTAGTGGATAATACGTGAACACCAAGTGCTACCTGATTGGCTTAATTTGCGATGTGCTTGTCTGTTATTGGTTGGTAAAATATCTGCCGTCCACAAAAGTCTTCCGTGCGGAAACACACAGAGCCTAACACTTCCTCCGTGTCGCAACAATTAAAGTGTATAGAGCGAATTCGATTTTTTTTTGTATCGTTAAGATTTTTGACTTTATACGTGTATGGTTTTAGAAATACGAAAGGGGAAAATTCCGTTCCTCCGGTTTAGGAAGTGTGGCAATAACCGTCGGACTCGTGTGTTTTCTTTCCGGAGGATAATAGAGAAGGGACCGGCTCGATTTATGGAGTTTCGAAGAAGAAATTTGTTGTGAGAGTTTCTCTCGGAACATTTCTGAACAAAATGGGGAACTTTGGAGCGTTTTTGAGGAGGACAGCGGTCTTCCTGTTACTGCAGTTGTGTGTGGTGTGCTGTGATATAACGGACGGAAACACGGAACACCTGAAGAGAGAGCACTCGTTAATGAAACCCTACCAAGGTAACACGGCTCGGTTAGCTCGTTAGCTAGCCTGGTGTTCTGTCCACTCTCCGCGGTTCACAAGCTCTCTAGCGACATTTGCAACTTGTTGGCTGGTGGATACAAATGACTGTCGCGTTCTGGCTCATTTATAAACACTACATGTACAACGAGCTGTTAAATCCGTTCACACAGGTCATATAACGTTAGCTCAGTAAAAAGGGCTGTGTCACATACAAAGTTATTGGAATAACTATTATAACTCAGATAGCTAAAAACACAGACGTATAGCGGTAAGTGGCGCATAAGGCTACAATACTCAAAAGCATGACTACTCCGTCAGCATGTCAAGTTTTCAGATTTAGTCACACATACTGTAAGACGGTGATTGTCTCCATTCTGGACCACGGAAGTGACTTTCACGTTTCAGTGAATTGGCTACAAATGAAGCACACGTTCACAACTAACCGTTTTCGATTCCGTTTTGCTTTGTTTTAGAAATGTGAATAAGTTTTTTTCTGCTTTCCATTCATTTACATACGACCTATAAGCAGGGTGTTGAACTAGTTTCAAGTCTTTTACAGTGAGCGCCAAGAAGAAGACTACATGTGAATGGTTACACAGCCAAAGCAAGCTGCAAGAATCCGCTAAAGGATTAATATGCCATATAGAAATGAACGGACTCTGGTGGATGCCTAAAATGGAGGTTAATATAAGATAAGATGATATTTACCTTTATTAAATCCCTGTAGGAGAAATTCAGATTGCACACAGCAGCATTGGGGAATATAGTGCAATAAAAAGAGTACAGTGTACATACAGTCGTATCACAAATAAGACTGTTACTAAATATAATAGAAAATATAAAACTATAGATGAAAAATATATACACTAAATGCAATGTGCAGTACAATGGTGTGCAAATTATTTTAAGCAGCTTGACTAAAAAACTAAACTGTACATGTGCAATTTTAAGATGAATTATATAAGTTAGTTGAATTAAAACCAGGCTTAGTCAGTGGAGGTTGGGGGGGGGGTGGTACTGGACTGTGTTGAGGAAGTATGGAGTACTGGGAGCTGTGGTTGAGGGAGTTGGAGCGTGTGTCTGGAGCTGTGGTTGAGGAGGTTGGAGTACTGGAGCTTGGTTGAGAGGTTGGAGGTACTGGGAGGCTGGTGGTTGAGGCTGGACGCTGGGACGTCCTTTTTTTGGGAAGTGAGGAACATAAGCACAGTTCTATAGTGTGTAACTACACGTACATTAACATTTTGGTAACAAAACCTTTCGTACAATGAATTCTTGGGGGAAGGCAGCTCTGAAGAGTGGCATCAAATCAGGTTTTATCACTGCACTCAATCAGACGGTTAAGTGCAGGTGTCTGGAGCAGTTGCAGTAAAGTAGGCGAGCAGTGCACTGCGGCAGCTGCGCGGTTTCAAGAACTGCCTCACTTAAATAAAAGTATCTGTAACATAATGCGGTTCAAAGCCCACTTTAGCCGGCCCTCAGAACACCACACCTGTTTTGTTCATGGCGTGCGCAAGAAACTCCTGCCGGTCTTCATTCCTCAACATTCAGTAAATGTTGAATAACCGTCTGGTTTGCATGTGTCAGAAGGCGTGTCTCTTGCCCCTAAAGAGGGTGTTTGATACTGACTGCATACAAACATACTGGCCAAAAGTCATAATCCGATATATGTAGGGGCTGAATAGCTAACGTCCTGCACGCGGTACCTCGAATTAAACACTAAGGACATCGAAATCACCGCGCCAGTGCCCAGTACTCAGATATATACTGCCCCACATATATATGTTCCACACATTATCTCTATGTATCATTCAGGACCTGCTATCGATGCACTGCTGCCTGTCGAATGACAAATAAGACCCCACAACATTAAGAAACCATCATCAACCCCAATCCATAAATACATACATAAACGTTATATACCAGAGCACTAGAAACTTCTTAACTATCGCTCGGCCCTAGAAAAACCAATTA